ATACCCGCCAAGGCAGCGGGATAATAAATCGTCAGAACTTAATTCTTCGTAGATAGGCTTGACTGCTTTGAAAACTTCATCCTGAAATACTTGACAAACACAAGAGAAAGGCAGCGAGCTCGGTGAGCGGCCCGAGGCCCTCTCCCCGCGCTAGAGGTAACACACAAGCATAGCTGTTTTCGACGTGAAATAAATTCAAGATCGCTTAGGCGTTAATGGGATCATATTCTAGACATCTTAAAGTATCATTTAAGCCAATAAAAAATTTTTTTTATTTTTTGAAGCCGCAAAGGTGTTATACCCCCTTAAGGCTCTTGACTACTCAGCCAAGAACTCTTGACGATGGCGACACAGAATAAGATGGCGGTCTGGCGAAATGATAGCCACAGCACGAGCCCATATCCGTGTGCTCGCCTACGGCACGCTAAGAGTGAACGAGACAGCGAGCTCCTTCTCACACTAATCATTTGTTTCAAGCGACCGAAAATGCTTTCTCGGCAATCTCGGCCGCTCGGCGGCCCTAGGTATCAATAAGGGACGGGGGGCATTCTAAATAACATATAATTTAATATAAATTGTAGTAGTGTACTCCTCCCATTAATCCAGAATATTATAAATCATGTTAAAATGCAACAGATATTTCAGATTACGAGATATTTAATTGTTTACGATTTTTCATCATTATATAGTATACCTCTTCTTCATAAACTCGAGTAGTAAGAATAATTCAATAGAAATAAAATTTTACCGGAAAAAAATTATAACCAGCATTTCTCTTCACGAAAGTCTCGAAAGGCCAGAAAAAAATGCGTATATTCGAGACTCGAGATTTGTGAAGAAAATATGCGAAAAAAAATCAAATAGTTGCAAAAAGCACGTTTTTCGCTTATAAAACGAAAAATATTGATTGTATGGAAAAAAAATAAAAAATGTAGGTATTCGAAATATCTACAAAATAAGATATGGAATATTAAAATCTATCTATATAAGTTCAATAAAAAAAAATTAAAAAACATAGAAAAAGGCCTTTTTTCATTCGCTCTGTGTTCATTGAGATTTAAATGCAAAGCTTTGAAATTCTCGTAAAATGTAGCCTTCGTAATGACGAACAAATCTAGCCCTGAACAAGCCTGAAAATGTTCACTAATTTTTGCCAAAAGCCATTTGTTCACTAAAAGCCTGTCTGCGGAAACTAATTTCTTCATCTTTGAGCAGTCGCACAGCAATTTATAGGGACTTTACTTCTTCAAGAGTTGCACTATCACGTACGCTTAATAAAAGGATTTTTTGCAGTTAAACTATTATAAAATTTTAAAAAGTGGATATCTCTATTTTCATAAAAAATGAAAATAATTTCGTTAATATGCATCATATCAAATAGCCGTGTGAAGCATTCGAAATTTGACACTTTTTTATGAATTTAAAAAAAAAGATTACCTTCCGATTATTAGGAGCCGAGATAACAATTTTTTTTCAAAAAATCACTGTGGTTCTAAGTTTTAAGATTAAGAGTTCCATCTAGCACCAATTTGTCAAGGAAGAATTAAATTTGCTGTTAAAAAAATCTCGAATTGTAACTATGAAATTTTTAATTTAGAAAATTCTTTTTTCCTTGAATTTTTATTTTTTTTTGTTTATTATTAAAAAAATCACGTTTGAGTATGGAACGCATGTCTGATTAAGAAATTTAAATCACATGAGCTATGTTTCTTTATTTAATATGCTGTAAAAAGTGTCCAATTGGACAATTAAATGTACTGATAATTCAGACATGCGTTCGTTTTGACATACTCAAATGTGATTTTTTGATAATAAACCGAAAAAATAAAAATTCAAGAAACAAAAAACTAAAAATTTCATGATTACAGAAATTATTTTATGAAACATTTGGTTAAGTTATTTGTTTATATCTCGTCGAGTTACTCCAGATAAAAAAAAATCAGATTTCCATGTCAATTATTGCTAAGAAAATATAAATTTAGCAAATTTTTACACACGAAATCAAATATGCGCGAATCGCCGAGCGAACCAATCTTCTCCACTCGACTGCGCGTCGGCTTCCCTCTAGGGTTATTTTGTTTAAAACTTTTTTTTTAAACAAATGTTTAAAACATGTTTTAAACATCAGATTAAATTAAACATGCTTTTTTTTAAACAATTTAAAAAAAATGTTTAAAACGTTATTCTTTTTAAATGTGTTTTTAATACTATTTAGTAGAGGAGAAGGTGATACTCCAGTTACATTTTACACGGTAACTTGGTTTACTTGGTTATTAATGAATATTTAAATTTAAAACTTGATTACATTCATTAAAATGTTGTTGAATCGATTCTGAACTCAAAATTACTTATTAAATATTTATTACTTAGGATTTATTAATAAAAATATGACAACATTGCATAATGACGAATCGAAGAGAAACATGGATGATAATGTGACCTTCCATAAAAATAATCTTAAAAAGTTAGTTTTGTTTTTAGAAAACAGTTTGGTTATAAAATTAACAAAAAAATAAAGCAAAATATACGCATGTATACAAATGTATATACATGCACATATATACATATAACTTTATGTATACTGGGTATTTGGAAAATGATAAATCTTTCGCAGAGGGGCAGAATGAATTAAACTGAGGAGAAAATTTCCTGTATCATTTAGCTATCTTCGCAATAATTAACAAGATATTAATTGATAAAATTTACCGAAAATAGTTTTTTAATAATTTTTTACTCGAATACTTTACAAAAAAATTGCAAGAGACAATTGTTAATTTTTTTTTCATAAAGCTCTAAGAATTTTTTAAGAATTTTTTAATATCGTATTTTCTTATATTGAGAAAATGTAGTACTAAAAAGTTGATAAAAAATTCTGAAAAAATTCGTAGAATTCTATAAGAAGAAAATAAACAATTTTTTTCTTTTTCAGTTTTTCTGTAAAGTTGATAGCATTTGAGTAAAATTGTTGAAGGCCAATTTTCGTCAATTTTTAGCAATTAATATCTTGTTAACTATTAGGAAAATTACAAAATACTAGAGTACTTTTCTTCTTAGTTTACTCCATTCTGCCTCTATGTGAAAGATTTATCATTATTTTCCAAACACCCAGTATATAAACAGCTTGGCAGTCTATAAAAATCTATAGTAACGTAAATTAATATTAGAACTACAATTAGTTCAAGGAATAATTATTTTGAAATAAAAATCTCAAAAGAAGTCGTGAGTAATCAATCCGTATAAAGGACCACATTAGCAAAATGCCATGCTATTGTTTAAATTTGCATAACTTAAAATATATATAGTCAAATAAAATGTTAAATAGCAAACAACACATTCAAATATACATATATTTATGTATAATACGCTCAAATTTAAGAGAAATAAGGAAGTAGATATAATTAAATGTTAAAATGTACCTCAGAAACATTTCAAAATACAATAAAATACTTGAAAGTGAAAATGCGTTTTAATAAAATATAATAAATATATAATATTTAAAAAATGGTTTTTTTTTGTTTTAAACGCGATTTTTTCTAAAGCTGTTTAAAATATATATAAAACATTAAAAACAAATTTTAAACAAAAAAAACTGAATGTTTTATTTTTTTTGTTGAAACACGTTTTTTTATCAACCCTGCTTCCCTCATTCCGTCCGACGCACTGCCTCGCTTGCGTTTTTCAACTTTCTAATAATTTTAAATAAACTTTTTCGGTAGCAAAATATCAAGAATTTTTCAACAGCAAAAATTTAATTTCAATCGTTCATTCATTTTCGGTTGCTTGAAACAAACTACTAGTGGGAGAAGGGGCTTGCTGTCTCATTCACTCTCAGCGCGCAGCAGGCGAGCACACGGACATGGGTTCGTGTTTGTTTGTATGTTACAACGCCGCATCACGATAAATGATCGAACTTATAGGCGTGGAAAAGTGACGTTTTGACGGCGAAATTTATGTTACGTGCCATTTCGTTATTATTTGCCTAATTGTGAAAATGTGACTTGTCTTGTACTTAGGAAAGTCGTAATTATCGATGAAAATTAAAGTTATCTTGGAATTTTGTATCTAAAAGCTATATTTTACTTGTTTCAACACGAACCGTGTATTTCTGCTCGAATATAGGCTTTACGTGCCTTTTATGGCCATTTACTGACTGTTAAGGGAGGAAAGGACAGTTTTTATCGATTTTTATAAGTGTTTTAAAGTGATCTCGTTATTTCGTTTCATCCAAATTGTCTTTATTTAAAAATGATACGCAGCATAAATTATCATGTCATTTCTCGCTTATGACGTCACGATTCCATGGCCGCTGTGACTAGTCAGGAGCCTTAATTAGATGTATTTATTGGCTTTATTGGTTTGACCTTGGGAGGCATCGTCAACTTTGATTTAACCTTGGCGATGCCATTCAACGTCAAATCAATAAAACCAGTAAACACACCTTATTAAACCCTACCATTTTTTGTCTAAAACATCTCTTTCAAAAATGCATACTTTCCGAGATATTAAATTGTTTTCAGATTTTTATATTTTTAAATATTTATTACAAGGCTTCTAAGGCTCATTAACGGGAACGGCCTTACAGGTGTTCATTTGATAGGCTCTTCTGCAAGTTTGATCAAAATCGGTAAAGAGGAGAGTGTAGCCTTTCCTGGTAAGTTCTTCACAAAGGATTATGGATTAATTCAATTTGACATTTGTAAATGTGCGAAGCGTAAAAATCTCATTATAATTTCAATCTTAAGAAGAATTTGAAATGTAAAATAGTTGCGTTAAGTTTTATTATATTGAAGTGGAATTGATGTGAAAAGCTCGAAACATCTGTTGTATGTATGTTTGCATAATTATTATTCCATTATAAACACAAATATTGTACAGCATGAACATCAGCGTGGCTTCTTTGTCTTTTTATAATTTGATTGTGTGAATATTAAACTAATTCTTTTTTCATTTAATGTTTTTTAAATAAAAATAAAAACTTAGTAATTCGTGGAGAATCTTACCTATTAACAGAAGCTTCTGAAAGATAGTTGTCCTGTAGCAAAGTCTCACCAATTGCCGTATCAAAATTCTGTAACATGAAATGTCCGTCCACTTGATCTTCTACGGATGGCATGGTTATTGCCATCTTGGCTAGCGTTCTTGTGACACCACCTCCAGGTATGATCAAAGGATGCTTCCTTTGATGTCGTGGTAAACTAGATTTGGGCTGAAGTGTCTTTGAACGATCTCTAGGCGGCAGAGGAATTGGGTTCTCATCGATGTTACTCTGATTCTGATTATTCTCTATTTCCATAGAGTGATGTCTTTCAAGAATGCGTGATTGAGGCAGAGATAAAATTGCATGAGGCGAGGGAGGTGCTCGGACTTTGGGCAAAGTCATCGCGCCGCTATGGTGCATCTCGAAATGGAAGGCATGCTCACTAGATATGTCTTCTGATTGCGATAACACTGGGTAGCCCAGAGTGGCATGTTTGTTCCCACGAATTCTAGGCCTTACTATAGATAATCCGGAACGTAACATGCGTAACGGATTCGTATCTCCAGCACTTTCCAATGTTGGCGTCTCCACCAAACTGTTGTACACTTCCTTAGCTTCTTCCGACAGGGTGGCCTGAATATGTGTGGGAAGGGATACAAGGATAGAAGAAACAGAAATTAAACAAAAATAAGAAAACAGAAATTATAAATATGGAATTATAAATTTCGCTCTTTTTTTTTACTTTTGCATTTGTATTCTTTCTATGTTTTTCTATTTCCTTCTCCTTTTTCATTGTACATATAAATGTGCATGTTGATACGCATATATACACGCATGTTATTTTTGATATTGTACCAGAATTATCTTAAATAACTACTAACAAACAACAGAAATATCTGACTAAATACTAATTGTCGTATTCCGTGTACTGAAAAATTTTATGTGTCTTTTCATATTAATAAATATAATTTATTTCAGAATTCCCAAAACTTTTACATTACTAACTACACGTTTTAAATTTAATTTTGTATAAAAAAAATTATTTTTCGAAAAAAAGAAACATGTTTGCTAATTAAAGATGAATTATTATATTATTTTCAAATTTTAAAAACATTAAAATATAATAAAATTGTCTGAAAATAAAAAATAAAATAAATATATAAACACGCACGCACGCACGCACGCACGCACATACACAGAGTGTGAGTTTGATAAAAAGTCCGCCACGTTTTTCTCGAAAAAGGTTAGATATAGGAGGAAGATATCTATTATCAAAATTATAGAATAAGTGGGGGGGGGGGACATACTTTGATGACTTTGAGTAACCTTAAATGTTCTTGGTTTTCATACTATCAATAAAAATTTTTTTTTAATAGAAAGGATATTTTTTACTCGTTCGATCGATAGTGCCCAATGAGCTAAATAATTTTACATTATTCTTTTAAAAGTTTAATTATTGTCAGGATATAAACCTCAAAAGTAGCCAGACGCTATGTTGATCTGAACATGCCTGTAGTCTTCATGAAAAGTTTGCTTGGACTTCTTCTAACTCTTGAATCGTTATTTTGCAAAAAATATTTTCTTTCTTTTATGTTTTCCGAAGTGATCGTTTTTCGAAGTGATAGAATATGTAAAGTAAACTAACTCCTTCACTCTTTCTCAAAGGTAATAGTCCAAACATTTTAAATCGAGTGGAATATACAAAGGGAATAACACAAGATTATCTCTACTAATCCATTTGTTTGAAAACATCCTGTTGAGTTCTCGCCTGGTATTTACAGCGAAGTGGGATGCACCACCTAACTAAAGTCAAATTCGAGCCCTATCTATCAACGGAATATCTTCCACTAAATTTGGAAAACCTTTCTAAAAAAACGAACAAATTTTTCGGTTGTTAGAGATTTCTAAAAAAAGAATGGTCCAGTTAACTGAACGCCAATAATTCCTGCCCAAACATTAATACTCTACGTTGTTGACAGTTCACAGTTCTCATCCAGTGGGTGACTTCGCTCCAATAATGCAATTGATGCGTATTAATGATTTCATACTCTTAAATATTGCTTTATCTGTCACAATAGAAAAAAGTTAGGATCTTCTTGTAATTTATTTTGAACTCACGTACAGAACTGGATACTCATGCTAAAATTATTCTGCGAAAGTTCATGGAGTATCGATACAAGATATGGATGGAACTTATTTTTCCTGAGTATACGTGACACTGAGAATTGGCTAACATGTATTTCTATCGCGAACAATATCTCTTGTAGACACATGGATTTGTAATAATTGCAGCTAATATGTCAATAGACACATTTTCATTTGTAACACCAATATTTTGCTTTTGTTATCTTGACCTTAACAATTCCAATAGTACTTGATTCGTCAAACGTGTAAAAACTCCTCTTACACGAAATGACGACGGTTTGGAAAGCGTACAGCATACAAATCAGCCGCTTGCATAGCATTTTGTAAATACATTCATTGTAAATCATTAACATATCAAAAACTTCTTCATTAGAATATAACATTTTTTAAGAAACTTTACTCACAAAGTACTTGAATCTGTGTATTTGTCAATTCCAACTCAAATCTTAATAATAGAACGAAAATTTTTGAATAACTACAATGCAAGAACTCAATGTTTCCAAATTAATGGATCGGTAGAAATGATTTTGTATTATTCACCTTCTTTTACGATTCAAAAGTTAGAAACTTTCCAAAAAGACTGCAGGCATGTCTCAATCATCATATTTTAAACAGTCTCACTTATTTTGACTTATATAATGTTAAATTTTCGAAAAGATATTCTAATACAAAATTATTCAGCTCATTAAGCATTATCGATAGAATAGAGTAAAAAAGACCGCTTCTCATTAAGAAAAAAATATTTTTATTGATAGTAAGAAAATTAAGGATATTTAAGGTTACTCAAGATCATCAAAGTACGTCCCCCTACTTATCCTACAATTTTGATAATAGGTGTCTTTCTCTAACCATTTTCAAGAAAAACGTGATGCAATATATACCGATAGAGTCCCGTAATTCACCCGATGCTGCCGTGGGCAGGTAGAGCAGACTAAACTGAGTCGAAAGGTCTCCTACATTTTGCAATTTGCAATAGTTAACAAGATTACTAAAAATTGAATATTGATCTTCAATAATTTATTCTAAAATATTATCAACTTTATAGAAAAACTGTAAAGGACAAAAATTGTATATTTTCTTCTCATAAAATTCTGAAAATTTTTTCTTTTAAAAAAAGGAAATTCTGAAAACTTATTAAAAAAGGAGCCACAGGAGCGTGAAACCACAGCACTTGTTTATGAAATTTAATTATTCATTATATTAATAAAAAATCTTTAGACGTTCGGCCACAATCTCGCCATCTTCAGTAAAATCACAAATATTAGTAAAACGCAGAATTTACATATATCTGACATTGAATTCAGCCGTCATATAATATATGTATAAACGTGTTTTTTCATGTTAAGATGCATCGTACAACAATGTTACAGAGCCAATTATCATATTGCAAATATATAGAACAAGAATTTCCAATTTCTAATTTAAAATTAAATTATCATTAATAACTTCTAGTCAATTTTATGAGGATTGAATCATTACCTGTTTTACAGACAAAATGATGAATCTTAAGCACTTCTTTCACGCAGATGGAAATTTATCGTGACATTGTGTAATGTTATTCGTTATATCGTATGTGTTACCGCTATTTATACATATGTCAAAAGTTTAGATTGTTCTAGAATTATTTATTAAGTGTGAGAGAGATCGTTCTTTGGAAAAGGCAGATAAACATCAGGCAAACTTTCAGTGTTATTTTGCTTATTAATACTACTTATTTGGTTTTTTATGTATATCATTTCAGAAATTCTTCTTTTAAATAATGATTGTTCCATATTTAAACTTCTAATATTATCTCAATCCAATTCATGCCTCTCATTCAATTGGGGGCGTGAAACCACTGACATCTCAGAGGTGGATCTTCTTATATCAACCTTATGTTCTTTGATTCGAGTTTTTAATTTCCTTTTTGTTTGACCAACATAAGAAGAATCATAATCTAGACAATTTATCTTATAAATCACACAATTGTCCTCTTTATACAAACGATCTTTTCCAGTTTTAATAAATCTATTCAGTTTGTTTATAGGTTTGTTGTAAGTAATATTAAAGCTCTGACTATGTGATAATTTTTTAAATTTTTCCGATACTTTACTTAAATATGATATTATAAAAAACTTTTTCTTTAAATTGGAATTAGAATCGTTTTCATTATTATTACACTATTTTCTAAATTAATTCTATTTTCTAAAGTTTTTAATTCTGTTTTTTATTGTTGAAAAAAATGAATTCAAGAGGATAGCCATTCATTAACAGAGTATAAACTAAATCAGAAATGTTTTTTTCTTGAAATTTTGGATGGGATAAAAACATTTGAATAATAATTCAAATATCTCCCTGAATTAGTAGTATTTTTATAAATATTGAAGATAATTCTTCCTTCTTGTCTCATTAGTTTAACAGTTAAAAAATTAATGCCATTTTCGCCAAAGTCAACTGTAAACTTTAGGTTTTCATGATACGAATTAAATAATTCCAGAATATTCTTAACCTTGTCTTTATGCACAGACAATACAATGTCATCAACATAACAGAAATAAAAAGATGAAACAATATTATTAGTTGTAATAATTTTTTGTTCTAAATCTTATATTAGGTGTTGGAATTAATTCGTAGCGTTTTTAATGAAAGAATGTTATTTATTTCACATGAGCATTAAAAAATACATTAATGAAAGTACTTCCCATCACTTGTAAAACGCTACGAATTAATTCCAACACCTAATAGAACAATGTTCGCTAATGTAGAGGACAATGGAGAACACATTGGCATGCCAAAAATCTGTTTAAATATTTTTTTGTCAAATTTAAAAAATGTAGAGAATGGCTATCCTATTGAATTCATTTTTTCAACAATAAAAAACAGAATTAAAACTTTAGAAAATAAAACTAATTTAGATAAAAATAGTGAGTGTCATAATAATGAAAACGATTCTAATTCCAATTTAAAGAAAAAGTTTTTTATAATACCATACCATTTAAGTAAAGTATCGGAAAAATTTTAAAAATTATCACATAGTCAGGGCTTTAATATTGCTTACAACAAACCTATAAACAAACTGAATAGATTTATTAAAACTGGAAAAGATCGTTTGTATAAAGAGGACCATTATGGAGTGATTTATAAGATAAATTGTCTAGATTATGATTCTTCTTATGTTGTCCAAACAAAAAGGAAATTAAAAACTCGAATCAAAGAACATAAGGTTGATATAAAAAGATCCACCTCTGAGATGTCAGTGCCCCCATTTCACGCCCCCAATTGAATGAGATGCACGAATTGGATTGAGATAATATTAGAAGTTTAGATACGGAACAATCATTATTTAAAAGAAGAATTTCTGAAATGATATACATAAAAAGTCAAATAAGTAGTATTAATAAGCAAAGTGACACTGAAAATTTGCCTGATGTTTATCTGCCTTTTCCAAAGAACGATCTCTCTCACACTTAATAAATAATTCTAGAACAATCTAAACTTTGACATATATATAAATAGCGGTACAAACACATACGATATAACGAATAACATTACACAATGTCACGATAAATTTCCATCTGCGTGAAAGAAGTGCTTAAGATTCATCA